ACTATATGAGTATTTTTTGTACAAATTAAAATTTTATAATAATGAAAAAACTTTTTTCTATTACAGGATTCTGCCGAGACTCTGTATTTTCTATCACTGCCGGGCACAATACAGGAGCCCTTCCATGTCTTTGTGATTTTGATGGTTCCCTCAGTTTCGAATGTGAAAAGTTCGGGGGTCAGTGCCAATGCAAACCGAATATAATTGGACGTAAGTGTGAAGCCTGCAAAACTGGATATTTCGGATTTCCTGAGTGTAAACCTTGCCAGTGTCCATCAATAGCTTATTGCGAACCCAACACGGGTGAGTGTATTTGCCCACCTCACGTTACTGGTCCAAACTGTGATCAGTGTGAACCTGACACATATGGGTACGATCCAATTATTGGTTGCGACGAATGCAAATGTAATTACTTAGGAATAAATGGTTCAAGACAGTGTGACCTCAGAAGTGGAGAATGTCCGTAAGTGGTATCCATGCATTTTGTTGTTCAACTTTTAAAATTAATGAATTTAGTGCAGAGAGCCCTTCAGTTAGGCAATTAAAAGAGTTCTTTTAGAGATTGAATCCTGAAATCTAGAAAGTTCAATTACGCATATTACAAATATTTTATAAATAGAGATATCTTTACGTATTTATACCAGTCCGAAACCTACACTCCCCATCCAACCAAGAAAAGTGGATGTGGGTGATTGGTAGTTTTTTTCCACCAAAGTATTAAACCTATCCAGGCCCGGAGCAGCGAATTCCTTTGAACCCAAAAGGGCTCTTCGAATATCTTTGATGTTTATCGGTTCATTACGTTCAGATCGTTGAAGCTCTCCACAGTAAGTTTCGAGCTGAGGCTGAAGTCTAGGCTGAGTATTTGCGATTGTTCATGAATGTCCTTCCCGAAGGATTCCACCCGAGGTTGACGGATTATCCACAATATGTGGATGATCTTCGTATACTGTATTGAAATATCATCCTGTTTACGAACAATCGCTATTAATCAATATGTCATAGCGCAACCCGATCTGCCAGATTCCTAGGCACCTGCGCGTACCGGAAAGGGCTGGAGGTCGTGATTGAGATCACTGACAGTTTTGTGAATACGATTTGATGATACGGTTTAATTATTTTTTAACAATATATCCTTTGCTGAATGATAAAGTTGTATCATTTGTGGAAATCCAGAAACATTACACTTGGCGACGAGGATTAACCCTGCGTCTGACACGTGGGGTGTGACATACCCCAGTCGTAGAAAATTCCATATAACTTTTCGAAATTGGCGTCCCAGCGTCGAATATATTCAGTAGCTTCCGCATATAGCCTCCACTCTCATATTCACATCTCAAATCAGTCTTCGTTTGACGTATGTTTGAATCAGACCTGTTATAAAGCAACTGGGGTGCACGAAACCCCACGTGTCTATGGTCCAAAATCGTGCGCATTCAAATCAAAGTAAATCGAGTAGTTTTTTAGATTATTCGATAAAAAAAGGTGATTATGAGCGAGAAATGGCCCGTCCTCAGTCTTTATGGGATGAAATAGGAAGTGATGATGAAATTGACGAATCTGATAGTGATGAAACGAGCAATAATGTTAGCATCTTTGGTAACTATCCAGATTTCGAAGATCAGAGGCGAAACTGTAGAACCTCCATCCAAAAGACTCAAACAAAATGGACAAGGAAGGTGTCAAGATTGCCATCGTGCCCCTTATCGAAATACAAAAAACATTCGTAACAAATGCAATAAATTAATATGTCTTGCGTAGAAATGGCAAATGTTGATGACCTGTAATTTTTTTATGCTTTTCGATAATATATTTTTTTCAATTTCTATTTTATGATGTTTCATTATCTGTTTGAACCAGCAATTTGATATTTATTTAGTCGTTTTATGTGCAAAAGACTTCTTCATTGTTTTGGTAAAGACGGAATATAACGATTTATTGCTCGTTTTGGTAAATCGAAGATAATTTTTTTGCAAAAAGAGATATTACAGTATAGAATTCTCAAAACAACTATGTTAAAATTCAAGAAAACGTTAATTTTAACAGAAAAATCATATTGGGGTCCCACACACCCCACGTGTCTACAAATGTTACAAAAGTCCACGTGTCGGACGCAGGGTTAAAACTACAGACTGCCGTATTTAGCACCTACAATAAGATCGAGTGTATCGCAAAATGGCCTCGGTTGTTGATCTTGCATTGAGTCTTATTTTCGATCCGAAAACACGTGAGTGGCAAGTTTTTATAAAAAGGTTAGAACAAAACTTCATAGCGCGAAACATTACAGATGAAATATTATGCGTGCAGTTTTACTAAACAGTTTAGCCGAAGAAGCCTATCAGCTGCTAGTTGATCTGTCGATACCGGATAAACCGGAAAATCTTGACGATTATTATAATAAAACACGGGTTGTGTGGGTAGAGAGAGAGCAAAGTATTACTCAACACACATGCTAATGTGTGAAGTCAAGCCAACCGGAGATAGAACTGCCAGTTCCACTACCTCATCAGCAGATTAAAGAGAAGCTACAGAGCTCTGCCCACAAAGATGGGAAAGATAATCCTGCAGATTTTAGGTGTGAAAGGCGGCATACGTATTATTCTCACTATTATTATTGTTGTTACTGACGGGAATGCACTAAAAGAATATCCACTTTCGTGAATTGCACGGTATTTTTGAATCTAAGGTACCTGATTAAATTCTTCGAATGAACTCTTTTAGTTGGGTGTCTGGTATGTATGGTATGTCTAAATATGTTTGAGTGGAATTTTTGTTTCTTCTGCAGTAGAAATAATTATACAAACTACTAATAATGCGTATAATAAATCCAAAGCAAGTATTTTTCCCTATCACCAGGAATGTAGAGCTACACTGAGTTTCCCCCTCGTATCAAAGCCTTGATACGAAAGAGAAATCGCTTGAGAAGGCTTTATCAACGAACCCTTTTCCCAGGAGATAAAATTGCGGCAAGTAGGATAGCCAATCAAGTCAAACGGGCCATCATTGATCACCGAAACGAAAGGTGGGAGGAGCTCTTGGAATCCCTCGAGCCTGGGGATGACGAGCTTTGGCGAGTTACCCGCAGACTCAAAGGGAAGAAGACTGCTCCCTCACCCATTCACGGAGAGCGTGGAGTGTGCTACTTCCCCGTCGACAAAGCGTTGGACTTTGCCGACAAGATGGAACGTCAGTTTCAACTAAACGTTGACGACAACGATGACATCGACCGCGATATTCTGCTGGAAGATCGGGTTCACCGTATCCTCAGGAAAGATGATGATAACATCCGCCCAGCTTCTGTGGAAGAGCTGAAGGATTACATCAGGGCCGCAAAGGCCAAGAAAGCTCCGGGGGTCGATTCAATAACCAATAAGTTGTTGAAGATGCTCCCGAATGACTGCGTTGAAAGCCTACTACAGATTATAAACAGTTCGTTGGCCTTCAGAAGGTGGAAGCATGCGATTGTCGTCATGATCCCAAAACAGCGTCAGAACCTGCTGTTCCCACAGAACAATCGCCCGATCAGTCTGCTCCCGTCGGCGGCTAAGCTGGCTGAAAGAGTCGTTCTGCAAAGACTCAACGAAGAAGTTGAGGACCGAAATGTTCTGCCTGACGAACAATTCGGCTTCAGGAGAGGACACTCCACTGAGCTACAGGCACTGAGACTGGTCGAAAACTCCATCGCAGAGCTAAACCATAATCGAAAAGTTCATGTCGTTCTTTCAGACATCTAGAAGGCCTTTTACCGTGTAAGGTACGAAGGACTTCTGCATAAGCTAGTCGCGTTCGACCTGCCTTGGGGCCTGATCCGGTGGATTGGGTCTTTCCTGAAAGACAGAATATTTCAGGTTAGAGTAGAGGGCTCTCAGTCTGAAAACAAAGATATCCTCGCTGGAGTGCCACTGGGGGCCGTGCTCTCTCCTACGCTGTACTCTCTTCACACTAGTGACCTCCCGAGGTCCGAGCATGTGAAGATATCTCTCTACGCAGATGACACGGCTCTTCTCTCATCTTCCATGGGTCGGGAGCTCGGGATCATCAACATGCAACGTGCATTGGACGACCTCGAACGCTAGTCCCTCGAATGAAAGATCCGAGTTAACTCGGAAAAGATTCAGGCGATAACCATGGAAAGAACGATATCTCCTACGGCCAGAAAAGTGAGGATATCCGAAAGATCGACTGGCAAGCACAGGTAAAGTACCTCGGTCTTCTAATCGACCGTAGGCTCAATCAATCAATCAATCAATTCATTTGCTTATTATCAATATGAGGTAGATAAATATAATACAAAACATACACATTACACAATACATACACATTAAAAAGGCAAAGCATTAAAACTTGCAGTTGAAAAATTCACTACGTCATAATGGGTGAGATCAACCAGCAGCCCTTTTATACTTTTTTTGAATTTAATCATATGTAACTTCTTCATATATGGTGGTAGATTGTTGAAGAGCCTTATCGCCATAGTAAAAAAGCTTTTATGAGTAATTGCCAGTCGATGTTGTGGAATAAAAATATTGTGGCCATTTCTGGTCAAATATTCATGGTTTCGATTAACTTGAGGGGTGTTATTTTGTGTCAAGACATTGAAATATGTATAGAGCCGTAATGGTTATTATATTAATTTTTTATTAGAGGTCTACAGCTGTCAGTTCTTTCTGCTCTTCCCAGGATTCTAATAGCCGTTTTTTGTAAAATGAATATCCTTTGCCAATCAGTTGAAAGTTCCCAAAAAACTAATCCGTATGACACTTTAGACTGAAATAACCCCATGTGAGCTGCTCTCGAAACATAAGAGGGAACAAATTCATTAATTCTACGAAGCAGGTAAAGAGTGCTGGACAGCTTAGTAGAGAGATCTTTGATGTGGTCTTTCCAGTTCAGTTTTTGATCCAGCGTTACCCCTGAAAACTTAATGGATTTCTGACTGTCCTTCAGTTCTTTTAGCGTGAACGTAATTGTTTCAGTTTTCTTGACATTTGAGCATAACTTATTGGCTGCGAAAAAAATTTTCGATTTTTTTCAACGCGTTGTCAGTTAGTTGGTTGCTTTGGATATTCATATTCAGGGTGACTTTCATAAATAGTAGTGTCATCGACATACTGAATCGTATTGAAGGGGTTCATATAATGTGGAATATCATTAACATATATTAGGAATAGTAGGGGACCCAAGATTGACCCTTGAGGCACCCCCGCTGTTACACTCACTGCTGGAGATTTTACACTATTTCGTTCCACAACCTGATTTCGTTCGGATAGGTAAGAATCGATCAAATCAACTATTTTCGCCCTAATTCCATAGTACGGTAGTTTATCGAGTAGAGTCGTGTGTGACACACAGTCGAATGCCTTCGAGACGTCACAGAATACGGCTGTGAGTGCTTCCCCCCTCTCGAAGGCTAACCTGGAACTAGCACATTATGTACTTAACGTACATAAGCTAGCAAGGTTCCAATCTTGGACCTCTTTTATTTTCAATTTTTATTAATGACTTGGCAACCTCTTTGAATATCCCTAGCCTACAATTTGCAGACGACCCGAAATTATATTATAAAATCGACGACATTACTGACTGCCAACGTGTACAACATGAATTAGATGTAATCAAACTTTGGTGTAATAATAATCGTCTACAATTGAACGTTGCCAAATGTAAAATAATATCATTTACAACAAAAAAGCGAACTTTATTGTATGATTACTCAATCAACAAATCTACAATCAACCGCGTACATGAGATAAAAGATCTTTGTATAACATACGACAGTAAATTAACGGTTTCAACACATATAAGGAATATGACTGCTGATGCGAATATGATACTTGGATTCATTTACAGAAATGGCAAAAATTTCAAAAGTATTGCCACCTTAAAATTGCTATATTTTGCGTATGCCAGATCTAAGTTAGAGTATGGATCTTTGTTATGGAATCCGGTTTACGACTACCAAAAAACATCAATTGAGGCATCGATCATACCATATTGTTGACACGATTTGATATGACATCTTTGGAAAATAGGAGAGTTATCCTTGGTATAAAATTCCTGCATAAATTACTCAACAACAATATTGACAGTACGGTTCTTTTTCCCGAGATCAATTTCTTAGTACCAAGAAGTGAAGGTCGACGCAATCTGAAATTCTATTGCGAAGCATCACGCACAAATATTTTGCTACGATCACCATTGAATTTTATGTGCAGTAGCTTCAATAAAATCTGTGAACACTGCGATATTCATTTCGACTCTCTGATGCCCAAAGTAAACCAGTTCGAATCAAGAAATTATTTTACGAACAACTACAGAGATACATCGTCATAAATGCGAACTGGATTTATTGTTATTTTGTAGTTAGTACCTGTATTAAACGATTAAAGGGTAATCAACAAAACTAATTTACTAATAACAAAACACACAACATGTAGAAATCATAGTAAATGTTCAATATGTCTACCTTCAGATATTACGCATGCGTCTAGACTTCGGCGAATTGAGCCACGTATTCGCTCAAATATTCCTGGAGTCTCTCTGTTCACCCTGCATGCATCGATGATGCGGTTTCTTGAGTCCTCTACATCGCGAACAGGATTACGATGAACCAAATGCTGTAAATGTTCCCAAACAGAGAAATCGAGAGGATCGAGATCCGGGGATCGAGCGGGCCAGTTCTGTGGTCCTCCTCGACCTACCCACTGATTTGCATATGTTTCAGTTAAATGCTGACGTGCTACTTGACTAAAATGGGCGGGAGCCCCATCATGCATAAAAACATATCCCTTCTCACGCCCAAAGGAACTTCCTCCAGCAGTACTGGATGCACTTCTCTCAAAAATTGAACGTATGCCTCACCATTCAATCGTGGAGGTAGAAAATGAGGCCCAATTAAATCATCCCCAATAACTCCGAGCCACACGTTATGAGAAAACTATTCTTGATGATTAGTTTCGACAATTGCGTGAGGGTTTTCATCAGCCCATATGTGGTAATTATGAAAATTAATAATCTTGTCCCGAGAAAAACTACATTCGTCTGTGCATTCTATCGTCTTCAGAAAGTCACAATTTCTTCTAATCATTTTCAGCATCCAATTGCGAAATTCAAGACGGTTCGGAAAATCTCGCGGTAATAGTGCCAGTACTCGTTGCAGATGGTAAGGGTATAAGAGTTGTTCCTTTAAAATTCGAAATACCATCATATGATCAACATTTAGCTGAAAAGCAATATTTCTAGTACTGGTAGTAGGTTGTTCTTCAATCAAATTAAGTACTGATTCCTCAAGCTGTGGTGTTCATACTTTTCTATGGCGACCACAATCCTGCGTTCTTTTGTCGAATGAACCATATTCTCGTAATCGTTGATGAAGTCGAGCAAATATTCTATGTGAAGAATGCTGCCGTTGAGGATACATTTCAGCATATCTTCTAGAAGCTTCCAACCCATTCCCCTAGGACAGACCGTAAACGTAATGCATATCAGCCATTTTCTCATTTGTGTATGCCATTTTAATAAAAAGTGAATTAGTAAAGTAACAAATTAAGAACAGAACAACAACAAACAATTAGTATTAATTCAATTTCGAAAATTTACAAACTGACAGCGTCATACCAATTTAATTGTCACTATCGCTAATAGCGACCTACTAGGTAGATTAGTTTTGTATTTTCGCATTTATGAGGATGTATCTCTGTAGTCGTTCGTAAAATAATTTTTGCTGCGAACTGGTTTATTTTGGGCAAAAAACCCAAGAGACATTTTTTGTTACGAATGAAACAGGCTATCGGAAATGAAGTTTTAAATGGTAAACAAATGATAAGGCAAAAAGTTACATTGGAAATAAATTTTAGGGGGTTGCGTTTTCCACCCCTCACAACCATAGGGTATACCAAATAAATTTCTGGTCAAGTGTCTTTTTCGTAGTAAAAAACGTCAGGTTAATTTCAATATTGTAACTTTTTTAGTGCTTGTGAAAAAAATTGTTATACACATTTTATGTACCCCCTTTAAGGGGCTGTATCTTAACAAGGGATGTTCCAATGAAATTTCTTTATATGAAAGATCCTATCTTTTTTTCGATGAGGAATCACCTCCTTGAATGTTTTTCACTTATTTAGTTACACCCTACTCTGTAATAATAACATTTCCTGTAACTGTTTTTTTTTTCAATACTGTAGACGACCCCTCCCGATATAGAAGGCCCCGACACTCTGTCAAATGAGGCCCTCATGTCCTCCGTCTTTAGGAGATGGAGACATCGTCTTCTGAAGACGCCAACTTGGTTGGTGAAACGCGTATTGTGAAGAGTGTTAATGATGTAACTACATCAGTTGTTGATTATATTCAATATAATATGATGATTTCAGCTACCAACATATTTGAATTTTCAGCTAGACTTCTGATATTCAGTTTTTTTGTTTTCAATAATTCTGTTGGAAATTTTCTTTTTAAATGAACAATTATACTTCACTCACTCAACTGGGGCTTCTGCACTGAAAACACCTAAATATTGAATACTCACATCTTTTGGGCATTATTATTTTACTATTGAAATATTTCAGATGCAAAGAAAATATTATTGGACGAACTTGTGATAAATGCAAGCCAGGTTACTACTCTTTCCCATATTGCGAGTCTTGTGAATGTGCTGGCGGCGGAACAGTAGATGAAATTTGCGATCAAGTAACTGCTGAATGTTTCTGTAAAAATCAAGTCGTGGGACCTCACTGTGACTTCTGTAGAGAAGGATCATTCAATCTACAAGCTGATAACAAAGAAGGATGTACAGAATGTTTTTGTTTTGGAAAAACTACTAGATGCGCCAGTTCACAGTTGATCAAGATATCTCTGAATATAATGAAGAACTGGAAAATTGTTCATCTGACGTTGATGGAGACTTTGAATGTAACTGATGTAAACATTGCGTTGGACGACATGGATGAAACGAGTAACGAAATAGGATTGGACTTTTTGTTTGTGAACATATCAACAGTATATTTTTCTGCTCCGCGCGACTACTTGGGAAAGAAACTCACCTCTTATGGGGGAAATTTGAACTACACAATTTATTATGAGATCAGTGAAGGCGGCTCGGCAGTGAGTGGGCCTGATGTTATTTTGGAAGGCGCTGACACCTATCTGACTTTCTCTAACTTTGAGCAACCGCCACCTGCAACAGAGTTTTCAACTTCAATAACTTTGACAGAAAGTTATTTCGAACTCCCCTCTGGAGAACCAGCTAAACGGGAACATATTATGATGGTTCTACAAGATTTGAAAGGCATCTACCTTCGGGGGCGATACTGGACAAAAACTTTGACGACCAGGTAAGATTATTTCGATTATTATTATTTCTAATGAATATATGAATTGACAAAAGCATCTTACTATAAAAGAACCTCGAAGTAACACATAATATCCTAGAATATTTCCATATATTAGTCACTCATAATACATTTTTTCTAAAGAACTTTATTCGGATAATGCAATCATGGTTACAATAAATAGTAATTGAGATAGCAGCACTATCCAAAAAAAAGTTATCCAAAACAGCACCAACATGCTAGTCTCGGAAAACTAAAAACAGTATAATAATAATTTAAGCAGTACAACAAAATAATCTTATCAAGATTCATTCGAGAATACATAATACAAATGTAAATAAAATAAAAATCTAATAGTAATTTCGATCCTTTGTTTGCAGGCATGTTAGGCGTACACATTCTCGAACCATCTGTCCAACCTTTCGTAACTGTGTCGTCAGTGTCATACCAAAATCAATCCTAATATAAATTTTGCCGTTGTTCTTGTCTATATTTAGTTATTTGTTCTAAGTATTTGTTACGCAAGTCCACTATTCTTCTGCTTTCCATAACTACTTGACGTTTGTTTATCATTTTAAATCTAAATCCCAGTTTCTTTATCCAATTCTGAAGAGTTTCGTTACAGCAGCTAACATTATGTCCAAAAGTATTCAATTTCTTCCATATGATTTCAGTTGTAGGAATCTCATTGCTTTTGTAACGGTCCTGTTATTATTTTTTTCAATTATTTTATTAGATGAACATCTACAGGTTTTGATAATCCTGTATAACATCGCGTCTTTCTTTCATAAGGTTTGTTTTTGACTATTTCAGATACAGTTAAAAAAGGAATTTCGGTCAAATCTGATGTTGTTTGTAATAGTTTGTTTCCCTCGAAACCAAACTTGAGATGTAGATTCTTACATACATTGAAACATACTCTCTGTGCTTCAATATTCAAATGCATCCGAATCTTATTCACTGGTATCTCTTTTTCGCATTGTTCACCATCGCTATTGTTATCACAATAGCGATGGTGCATTGTTGTCACACTCGTTATTACTAATAGTACTTGTCCAAAGACGCCACATTTTAAACAAATAACAAAAAGTTTAAGCAACTATAACTGCGCCAATATCGAATTTCAACACTCAAATCGTGATCAGTTCCTGAACTGAACACGACAGCGATAACCATTACTGCATTCCCGATTTCTATTCGTCACCGTAACTTGACTTCAAATTTTATTTTATGACCCTTCAGCCAATCATAAAACTCGGTTAGTGAAAATTATCCAATACAAACCGGCAATTCTTCAATCCACATGGACTATTTCGCAGCCCGCTAATTTCTTTGTATTGGTTTTTTGGCCTTTGAGAGTGCCGGCAACTTTAAGTGTGCACAATACCATTTACTTCGACTATACAGTATGTGTATATAGAATGAATGAATGCAAGTCTATGTTTCATTCGGCGTGTGTGCTGGTCTCCACACACTTCATTATATCGGTATAATAGTTTCTCTAGCACATATATGAATTATATGTTTGTTGTTTTCAGATTGTCCAATATTATCTTAGATGAAGCTTACGAACCTGAAACTGAAAATCAATATGAGAACAGTCCCTTGGCATTATCAGTAGAACATTGCTTGTGCCCTCCAAATTATCAGGGATTGTCATGTGAAGAATGTGCTGTAGGTTATTACAGAATCAAGTCTGGACCACACGGAGGTTTTTGTGTGCCCTGTGAATGCCATGGACATTCCAATGAGTGTGATGTCGATACGGGAGTTTGTTTAGTAAGTAAAAAAAAATGTTCATGTCATGAATATCAGCTTGCCAGTGCTTCTGCAATTATAACAAATTTATATTTCGGTAGCCCTGATAGAATAAATCAAGAGAAAAAATCATTCAGTTACGCATTGAATCAATAGTGCTACCTCAATCACGTAAATGAAAAATTATATATTTCCAAATCATTTAAGAAATTTTATATCATTTACAGAATATCTCTCTCCTCCTGTTTTATAAAAAAATATTTGTTGCCCGCTGCTTCAATCCCGTAGAATTTGGTTTGTCACATTAAGTTTCGTGACAGACCATTTTAAATAAATAGTTACAATATTTTTTTCATTAACCCAATTTTTCAGTTCTCCAACTTGTTAAAGTTAGAGTTATAGAAAAGGAGGTCGTGAACGTACACTTTTCCGATTACCAGTTAGTATTTTGTGAATATCGTCTGAAGAAGCAACACAGAGAATCTAGGATGGTTACGAGTTGAACAAAATAAATTAGGTTACTTTTGATTTTGATCTTAATAGAATTCCATTATTTTCCATCTATGAGGAAGAAGATATTGACGATAAACTACATATACTTGTGGATAGTACGGAGAAGCTTTTTGATATACATGCCCCTGTTAAGACACGTAGAATTACAAAGCCTCCTGCACCTTGCTTAACGGGCACTATTTCACAAATAATGAAAGTTAGGGATAGGGCACTTAGCAAATTTAAAATTAATCTATGATGTCCAGTAATTCTTCCTTACTTCACCCATGTAATGTATTTATTTGGCACCTAAATCCCAAGTTTTACAAGTTCTTCGACTACGGATTTTCTCTAACTGGATCAATAGTGATCCAGTTAGATCCAGTGAAAAAAAAATTGAAGGATGTAAACATCGGTTTGTCCAACCTAAATACCAACAACTTTGTTATTCATGTGTAATGATGACCTCCTTCCGAAAAGGGAAATTTTGGACTCCGAGTATAAATTTCGTGAAGTGGACTACGACGTTTCTTTATAGAAAATGAAACTTTGAGTGCCAGGATAAAGCAGCGAAAAACGAATGCTTTAGGGGCAATCCTAACAGGAAGAGCAGCATCCCTTTCTCCGTATTTTCCAGTTCCACACGACTAGAAAGATAGCAGCTTGAAAGGGTTTCTCATCCTGTTGAACTAACGTTTAGTTGTGGAGGAATTTCGCAAGCACTGTGTTATGTGTTCTGTAAAGAAAGGTCCATAGAAAAATTGAACCAGTACATCTCAAGGATATCGATTATGTTCATCAAAAAATGTATGTTATTGTTGTTATTCAACCCAAAGAACTCTACCCGCCATCACTTTACTTCTCTGTTAATATATGAAGCATGAAAAATTATAAAGAAAGGAACAAAAATTAATCTTACAAATGAAACACTATGTTGAAATGTTAGATCGTACACAGTTATATCTGTCAATTACAAGTCGAAAGAAAGAGTTTTTTATTAATTATCATTCAATAAATATTTTGAACTTTTCCAAATTACTTTTGTTCAGCTCGTTAAAAACCTCAAAGTAACGGCTTATTATCATTTACATCTTTCTGACCTGCCACGTGAATACATTATAGGGTTCCTGGACAATATCAGTCGCAAATATTTTTAACCAATTTCATTTATATACGTGAGCTCGACATCTCCTCTTACAAAAATGCTAAGGGATCAAGAGGACTCAATTCTGGGATGTCAAAGACCACCAACGGGATTTGTCTTATGTCTTTTATTTCAGCTTTCACTGCATCATAACCATTTGGAAACCGGAGCCCAAACGCAACGCATTTACGCTTCAATACCAGACAAATAGCGCTCTTTCAACTCACCATGGTCATCGTTTATCTTTGATATCCGATAATTGTTATCTGTCGATCTCAAAAATGTACTCTTCGTAGAAGTAAATGTCGTCGACCTTATTTACTCAGACTTTTCCTGATGAGACGTATAACTGGTCAGTTGATGAACAACACCGATTCTGTGACACCGGAAATTCAACCAACAGAAGCAATGAAGTACTTTCGTATAACGCTTTCGCGTAACGGTTTTTCGCGTACCGCTTTTCGTATAACGCTTTCGCGTAACGTTTTTTTGCTTAACACTTTTCGTGTAGCGCTTTCGTGACGCAGTTGGTCAAGTATCGAAGGTTTTTCGTGCGTTTTCGACCGTTTGCTAAGCGCAGTTGGTCAAGTATGTGACGGTTACGTACGAAAACTCACGAAAAACGGTCGATACTTGACCAACCGCGTCTCGAAAGCGCCACAAGAAAAGCATCACGCGAAAAAACGTTACGCGAAAGCGTTATACGAAACGCGAAAGCGTTATACGAAAGTACTTCATTGCTTCTGCTAAATTTCCGGTGTCACAGAACCGGTGTTGTTCATCTACTCTGGTCGAGACACCTCTCTCCGGTGTTGATTCACAAATGCGTTGTATTTGGGCTCTGGTTTTCAAATCATTTGTATAATTGGTTGTTGATATTATTTTGTTTGTTTTTATTCGGAAATTTGATTATTTGTTTAAAGGTGGTTGACTATGTTTCATAGTGAATTTCATTAGTTCGGACTTTCATTGTCTAATATGATGCTGTGTACGAAACTGCTATTTCCAAATAAAGGACGAATTCTTTACGCATGATTAGGGATCGCTACTTTCACTAGTTATTGTTATGGTTTCAAACTCTGGCCATTGAAGAAGCCCACAAGAAGTTCCTAGTCTGATTGACATACGTTGACGACACCTTCATAATATGGAACCATGGGAATACAGAACTAGACACCTTCCTGAAGCACATCAACAGGGCAAGACCTTCCATCACTTCCACAATGACGTATTGGTGAAGAGGACCGACACTATAAGTGGGAAACATCTATATACCAAGCCACTCAAAAGGGGCAATATCTGAATTACGAATCCAACCACCATCAATCGACTAAAAGATGAATCAAGAATCTAGTCGTCCATGCTTTCTGGCTATGTAATACGAAAGAAGGTCTCTAGAAAGAAATAGGCATCATCAAAAATGATTTTCAACGGAATGGTTACTCCAAATTGATGGTGGAACAGACTTTGGCTGAGAGACAGCAAGAGCCTCACAAGGAAGAAAAGTCATCACAACTAGTACTTGCACTTCCCTACATTCAGGGGATTGTCGAAAAGGATAAGAAGAATTGGGTTCAAGCTTAACATCAGAACCTGCTTCAGATCCGGAAAAACTATCCGTAACAGCCTCATAAAAACCAGGCCACCAAACGCGGACTGCGATTCCAAGAATTGCATTTACCGAATACCCTGCGAGTACGGAGAATCATACATCGGTGAAACTAAGAGGCCATTGAAAGCCCGCATTGCTGGGCACAAAAAGAAACACACACAGGAAGAAGAAACCAGCAAATCGGGAGTAGCAGAGCATGTGTGGACTCATCAACATAATATCAAGTGGTCCCAAGCAGAGATCATCCACATGGAGGAATACTGGTTTAGTAAAAAATTCAAAGAAGCCGCATATCTGTTGTCAACGCATTCAGCCAAGCTATCGTAGATATACGCAACATATGGAAATCCATAATCAAGCGGAAAACGGCCTACTCTCGCTAAACCGGTGAAGCGGGAAGCGGGAAGAGGGGATAGGTGAAAGCACTCGAATGACCTATAAATAGTCATCTTTCAGAGGATAAGTCCAGTCATTATTCCGAAGACGATTGTGGATACTAACAATTGAAACGTCATGAAGCTATTTGGCTTAAAATCCTTTCATTTTCAGGAATTTTTGATCATTTTATATCATATTAGACAATGAAAGTCCGAACTAATGGAACTGATTAATGTTGTGACGTTTAACTCCATGAAATTGGCAGTATTGTATTTGTATCGGATGCTACGATTGTCAGACCCTTAACAAAATATTCAACCTACATTGAAATAGTTGTCACTCCATTATTATAAACTAATTTCTCATTTCATATGAATACTTTATGAAATTTAATAGACCGTCAACGGTCTTGATTAATTTAACAGCCACGGCATCAATGTTATGATTTTTTTTCAACTTTCCATCTGAAAATCCCAACATTTCAATAACAATTAATATAGATTTTCCAACTTTTTCTCAATTCAGGATATAGATGTTATAGAATTTGTTCAACAAATTAGCCATTATCAGTTAATATCAAATGTAAAATAATATACATTTTTTCAATTGATATTTTTTATCAGTTATAATTTCAATAACAATTAAAAAATACGGTAAATAAAATATACAAATCGAGTAAATAACTAATTCAATCTATTTTCCACCAGAACTGCACTCACAACACTAGGGGCGATCACTGCGAACTCTGCGATATTGGTTATCATGGCAATGCCTTGGCTGGTACTCCCATGGATTGTTTAATTTGCGCCTGTCCTCTGCCAATTTCAAGTAACAAGTACGTAGAATTCAATTTTTTTTTTCATTTTCATTTGTCATAATTTTCAACAGTTTTGCGACTTCCTGTGATGTGACTGCAGATGGAGAAGAGATCAGCTGTGATTGTATTGAAGGCTATCTAGGGGCAAGATGTCATTCTTGTGCACCTGGTTTTTATGGTCGTCCAGAACAAGCAGGTAACTTTCAATTATTACAAGGCTACTAATCGTTTAGGACTTGAATAATGAATATTTTACAAAGTTACACGATATAAGTTATACCACCAGAAAAATGAAGATATATTTTTTTATGTCACTGCATTTGCTGTAATTTATTTTTGTCTTTACATGTTAGTTGATTATTGTTATTTGTTTGAAGTTCTATTTTTATTGAAAAGGAAACAATGTCTAATTTACCTCATACACACCTCATTTATCGATTATTAATTGTGTCTCCGTATTTTTTTCTCGGCTTTTCAAATGAACCAAGCTCGGTGATATTTTGATCCAATAACTTGAACATAGTTCGATGTGGTTATCGTTTTTCGGGATACAAGTTAAATACATTTCCGATGTCCTAACACTGTTTCTATCGTATTTGTAATAAATTTGTATCATATCTGTTTTTTCTTCATTCGTGAAAGCCATTTTTTGCGAAAAATTCAATGACTTGTACAATAACAAAATGTCATTGAGTGTAAGAAATTGAAAGTCAAATTTGGAAACATCAAAGTCAAAGCCTATTGTGATAAGAACGACCACTCCACACACCGTGGGGTAAGTGATCATTGGGTCCAAGAGGCATGTACCCTGAGCAAGCGCAGTGAGCCAAGAATGGCAGGCTTCTGCATCTGTCCGGCTAATATTTCTGCCTCAGTGCAACAGGCCGTTATGATTTTAATATTCGAGAGTACAGAGCGCATCATTCCACCAAAGACTCTAATAAAATCAGAACAATCATCTTGACAGAATGGTCTGAATAGAGTCTGCGGAGTTCGAAGAGAAAATCTCTATATTTTATCCGTTTTTCCTCCTATTTTCAGACGATATTTGTCTCGCCAGGAGCTAAAAACTCCACGAAAAATATCGTCTTGCTCTGGTGGTCGAGAAGGACTTCATCAGGATTATTAGCTTGCATGAGCCGTAGGGTGGGGAACGAATAGTTCCAATAAATTGGGCACTTCTCGTTCCCCACAACGGATTCAATATCCCCCAGAGCGTAGGGCAACATCGATATCTTGTCAATACCGTAAGAGTGTCGTAGATGGTAATATAGCATATATCGGCCGAGACCGCATATACTTGACATGCATTAGAGTCTCGGGCGCCTCGCGGCAAGCCCTGTACCTTGTGTTAGGAACTTCTATACCCATCACGCATCTGCGGTAGACTAAGGTGTTGAAGACACCATCCTGGCAAGCCATGATGAACCCCTCAGTTTCCGACTTCAGCCCACTCGATCGTAGGAAAGCAAAAGTCAGGCGCTTTGATAAGCCAAGGTATCCAATGTTATTGAAGAAGACCACATGCATTGGCTTATCCTTGTATTTCCGCAGAAGTGAGGTGACCTCTGTGGCGTTTATCTGAGCTTTTTGCTGAACGAGTTCCAACTCGGTGACAGAGTTGTGGTCACCTTGTTCAGTGTCGAAAACTAAACCAAGTTGGTCACTTGCTCGGGCAGCTGCCCTAAAGAGAAATGCTCCAATTCCTACTCTGTTATGGTCACGGACCATGCAGAGTAGGGGATCCGAACTCCTGACGACTTTACAGGCTATATCCAGTGCCATTCTGTCATATAGAGATTCCAAACTCAAAAGTCCACGGCCTCCCTGTTGTTGGGGGAAGTACAACCATGTAACGGACGATTTGGGATGCAAACTTCTATAGAGATGCATCATTTTTCGGGTCTTTATGTCGAGTTGATACAGCTCCTCCCGAGTCCACTTCACTTCTCCAAACGAGTAGAGTAAGATTGTCTATCCCAAATTTCATACCGATAGCATGCGTGTAATCTTCCACCACCCTCAAGGACTGATGGAGATCCTTCTCTCCAGAGGCATAAAGTTTAAGATCATCCATATAAAACAAATGAGTGACATTGTGCCTCCGGTTTTCGGGGGTGCCACAGTTATACTCTCGAGTATTTCTGAGCGCAACGGATAATGGCAATAGTGAGATGCAGAAGAGAAGTGGACTTAGGGAATCACCCTGAAATACACCCCTTCTGAAAGTGACCCACCCTGTTTGGAGCCTTGCTTGACCAGTTACTATGGTGAAGCGAGTTCGCCAAAGTGGTATCAGTTTTTCAATGCATCTCACTATTTTGTCGGGTACCGCAAGGCATCTGAGCAAATTCAAGATGAGCTCATGCGATATTGTATCAAATGCCTTACAGTAATCGATCCAGGCCATAGAGATGTTACGCTTATATTGTATCGATTCCTGCCTTACACATCTATCATCGATGAGCAGGTTCTCTTTACATCCAGCGACTCCTCTCTTCGACCCTCTCTCCTCATATATCCGTTCGAACACTCGGTCAACTGTGGTGAGTATTCGTGTGTATAAGATGCTTGTAAACAACTTATAACAGGAATTCAAGCATGTTATCAGTCTGAAATTCTTAGGAATTGACAAATCTCCGCTTTTGGGGATGAGAACGGTCCGCCCCTCGACAAACCAATCCGGAATCGGCTGCTGCCCGTCCAGCCATGAGTTGAAAACTTTGGCCAGATGGCGGTGAGCGCTTGTTAGTTTTTTCCACCAATAAGTGTTCAGCCCATCTGGGCCTGGAGCAGCAAAGTTCTTGGAACCCACAAGGGCTCTTCTAACGTTATCCGGGGTTATCGGGTTGCGCAGTTCACTGAGCTCAGGCTGTCGAAGCTCTTTGTTTAAAGATTCGAACTGCGCTAGGGATGGAGTGTCTAACTTTAGTAGCTGCGGGTATTATTATTCAAGGGAAAGAAAGTGCATGAATGTTTGTGTAACCTGTTTCATATGTATTGACAATAGTTATCCTTCGAGCTTATATTTACTCATTTTTTTTCAGGGGACTATTGTAAGCCTTGTAAATGCTCTGGAAACATAAATCCAGATGATCCTAGTTCCTGTGACACAGTAACTGGAGATTGCTTGAGATGTTTAAACAATACTTTTGGAGAGGCGTGCGCTCTTTGTGCTCCAGGATATTTTGGAGATGCTATTAATATGAAAGATTGTCAAAGTAAGTACATCATTCTTATATTTTTTTTAGAAAATACTGCTAGCTAGGAAACACTTCACAACGACCATATACTATTTCATCATAGTCACAATCAGCAGTGTATCTCTTAAAATGAGTGAGTATATTAAAAAAATCTCCACCAAAGATGTATGGCAAAACCTAAGTAGGAAAGTCAATTTCCTACTCAGAAGCATCTGATTGGCAATGATGATTTATATTTATAATAATCTATATCCTCATTTCCGTGTGAGGGATCACACGTTGAAAGGAAGGACCTCGTTAGTCCTTAGCTTGCACAAGTTTCGACTTTTGAGAGTTGTCGTTTGTAGGGGGACGACAGCTGGTTAACGGAAAAACAGATTTTAACATATTCTAACAGATTTTAACAGATTTAACAAATGACATTCGTTCCTGATATCCATTAATGAAACTAGAGATTCTGTATCTGTAGAGTAGGGAGGATGAGTGTAGACCTACAACACTTAGGTCACATGTGACCCATTGTACATCTTCCCGAGAAGTTGTCTCCCAAGGTCATGGTCCATCCTGTCCTTTCCAGGAAGGTGGACAGGTCATTAGAAGACATCTCCTTAATATTGGCAAGTGTAGGCCAAGACTCGCCGAACACACACTCTCTTCGGCAACCTTGAGGTGTCTCACGGTGGCCTCCGCCACGGAAGGTGCAGCGACATTACTGTCGTTGCGCGGCTTCTTCAACATTCTTGGGGTTCCCTCCGTGAGGGTGCACAAGTGAGGGAGCTTTCCTGCAGGTGCAGCCTTTATTCAAAGTGGAGCTCTTGGCGCCCGCCGCAGGATGTGCCCTTGCTGTTGGAGGTGGAGTGGGGGAGGAGGAGGGTGCACTTATAGTTGCTGTCACTTCTGCCTCCTTCGCTCTCTTTCTCCTTTTGGCCTCGGCGCCGCAAATGCGCGTACGTTTTGGCCTTTGTATTACATCATGAGGTGATCTGCTATGTCCAGCCTCATTCCCAGGGGTAGATTGGGGTGGACATTTCTGTTCACCCCCAGCCACAGCCTTAGATTGAGGTGAGCACTACTGTCCAGCCTCGGGACTGGTTTTTGTTTTTGTTTTCTCTGTTTTCGTGTTTTTTTTATTCATGTATGTTCCCACGAGTAGCAAGGGAACAAATGGTCACCTCTGGCAGAGCCAGGGCTTCCCGGGCAGGGCCTCCAGTCCCCTGGGTGTTCCCCTATCCGCCACCTGGGGACGCGCCCGATAGGTAGCCCAATCCACAGGTAAAAAGTGGTTTATTGAAACACACAGGTAATTCTATAATGATGTGATGAATTTTTAAACATCATATATTGATGTGCAAACAACAATTTATTCACACAACACAAGTTTTTTCCTTATAGGGTTGTATTTGTTCATTTGCCTTTCTAATACGTTGTAATCATAGTTTTATGTATAATTGGACAAATAAACTCTATTATCATTATTATAAATATTATCCTTTATAGCTTGTAGTTGCGACAAACTTGGAACCGATCATTGTGACAGTTTCACTGGAAAATGTGTATGCAAACCGAACGTTATCGGTGAGAGATGTGACCGTTGTGAGGAAGAACACTTTGGCTTCCAGACAGGACAAGGATGTGTTCCATGCGATTGTGGAGAAGCTTCGGAGAGCAATACTTGCGACGACATAACAGGACAATGTAAATGTATGCCTGGTGTTACTGAAAGATCTTGCGACAGATGCGCTGGTGGATACTGGAACTATACTTCTGAAGGATGTATTTGTGAGTAATAAATTCTATGATGCACTATAAGATTGATTGAAAGACTGTATTTGAGTTGGATACTAGGTACTTAATATTCCAATACAATCTTACAATACAATAATATCTTACGCAGACGATACAGCACTTTTATTTGAAAGCGATTCCTAGAATGAAGTATATGAGAAAGCTGAAACAGGGCTCAAATATGTACTGTCTTTGTTGAATATGAGCCTCCTGAGTTTGAATGTGGGAAAAACTAAGTTCATTGCATTCAGCGCAACAAAAAAAGACCAACTCTTAAATAACACTCTCACTGTTCATCTATGTATCTATGCCGAACCCCAACGCAGTATTCATGTAAAATAATCAAAAAAGTTGACAACATGAAGTATTTGGATGTACCTATATGTGGACCAACACCTGCGATGGGAAGAACACATTGACAACACAGTTAAGAGACTCAATAAGTTAGTTTATCAATTCTATCAACTCAGAATTCTGAATAATAAAAAGCTTTTACTTACGATTTACAACTCCCTCGCTGAATCTTTATCGAGGTACTGTATCATTATATGGGGTGGTTTCAGTAAAACATTATTACACGTTCTAGAGGTCATGCAAAATATCATATTAGAAATCATTCTTAAGAAAAATAGAAGGGATTCAAAATATATTTACAAAGAAACTGGCTTATTTGATGTAAGAAAACTCTATACCTATCAATGCTTAATATGGATGCAAAATACCTTCATCTCTCAGATAAGTCATACTTACAACACACGTACTAAATCTGGGTAGACTATATAAACTCTGTAGACTAACACACACACACACACACACAAAAATTTATATCATACTTTGGTCCAAAATTGGTAAACCTAGTCCCTATAGAAATCAGAGTCATTCCTAATAAACGTAAAATGAAATCAAAACTGAAAAATATGTGAACCAAAATTATTACAAACTGAAAACCGTATACGAACTCGAACAATAATAAGAAATACAAAATACAAGAAGTAACCATAGTCTCTCTCCCTCGAAATGGGTTTAACTTTGTTTTTTTCCTTCTTTATACTCACCACTCACTATATAAATAATCAGTGTAATCCAGGTTGACGACTACAACACAAGCATTGCTTAGGTAGCTCAGCCTGGACACAGAATTTCAGAATGTATCCAATAAATGTTTATAAACTTCCAAGTTTTGGATGATACCAGAGTCCAAGAGCGCCATGAGAGTTGAGAAAATTTATAATTCGAAAATCAAGTCGATGTTTGAAAGGTTTATTCCTAAAAAATGTTTCCACGTCTATCATACAGTGTGTAAAAGCCAAATGGGATAAATTCATTATTTCGGTTACTGTACACATTTAAAAAAATCCCGTCAACTGTAAATTATAATTTGGTATTCTTCAACGTAAAAATGCCACCCCTTGGAAATTTCTCATGAAATAGGCGAGCTCCTTCCTTTTGTATTCGGACTTTATTTCCGTAACGAATCATTTGTAAACCATTTGTCAGACTTGGAGTTAAGGAACTTTGAACTTGAATTAAAATACTGACAACTAATGTTGTAACATACAAAACAAAATGGCAAGGCGTTTTGAACTAACGTTGCCACGGATATTATTTACAGTTTTTTAAAGGATACCATCTAAAAAAAACATTGCTGTGGTTTTTGCATACTTTTTTATTATTATTACCTTAACATGAAATAAGGTTTAAGTATTTTGCAATAAGTTTTGAGTGTATAATGAAATAATGAATCTATTCCATTTGGCTTTTACACAGTGAATATGGAAAATCTGATGAGTCGATCATAATGTTTTCATCTATAAATTTGTCGTATTTTGAAGTTGAAAGGATCTGATAGTTTCTTGGTTTTAGCATGTGGCTGCAAAAGTGAATATTCTCTTGGATTTGGATGTAATGCTCTCACTGGGCAATGTGAATGTCTTCAAGGGGTGGTGGGAGAAAAATGTGACCAGTGTCCACATAGATGGGCGTTTGTTCCAGATTTCGGCTGTCATCAGTGTGACAACTGTCACCATGCTCTCTTGGATGATACAGATCAACTTTCTATTATAATTGACCCAGTGATATTTGATTTTGATGTAAGTACATATCATTATCGTATACGTTGAAATGTGTTCAAAATAGCAAATGTATTTTTTGGCTTTCTACCACTCCATCTTGATACAAAAAAAAAGAAGGATGAGGGAGTCTTCCAAAGAAAGGAAGGAAGTAATCAATTTGAAAATAAGTAACGCTATACATGGATGTGTAGATCATGCAAAGAAGTAACTTTCAGACACAAATTTTTTAAAGATACTGAAATTAGGGCTATCTGTTATTTCATTGGAAAGAGAATTATAAATTTTCATGCATAGTGTAATGAGATTATTTAAGCCAATATTAGAACGTAAAAGTTCTAAAAAGACATTATATGGGTTCGAGTATTATATTCGTGGAGCTGATTAACGAAAGTGAAGTTGGTATTACATTTGACTTGTTATGTATAACCTTGTATACAAATTTACCTTGCTCGATTTATAGAACATCATGAATAGGCAGTATTTTGGTTACACTGTATAAAGTTTCAAGGTAAATTTCAAGTTAAATTTCACTGACAAAGAACCACCTGCCTTTGAGCATAATGATTGCTCAAAGACAGAGTCTTGTAAACACATTGGAATTGTCAATTTTACCAATGTTAAAAAAAACTAATCAATAGAGTTTATTCTATGATTTTCACTATAAGGGTTTTACAAAAACCGCGACACGTGTTTCGCTATACAATAGCTATTGAAGCTTGAAGAAGTTTTTTGGGATCAATGTGTTTTCAAACCATTCCTCAAAAATATTAGCTTCCATGTTCTTACAATAGTCAATATTGGAGCCCTCGAATTTTTTCCACATAATTTCAAAGAATTCGGAACCCATCCTTTATTTCCTTTGCAATGCACAATGATTAGTCGCGATCCTTTGTTTGCAGGCATGTTAGGCGTACACATTCTCGAACCATCTGTCCAACCTTTCGTAACTGTGTCGTCAGTGTCATACCAAAATCAATCCTAATATAAATTTTGCCGTTGTTCTTGTCTATATTTAGTTATTTGTTCTAAGTATTTGTTACGCAAGTCCACTATTCTTCTGCTTTCCATAACTACTTGACGTTTGTTTATCATTTTAAATCTAAATCCCAGTTTCTTTATCCAATTCTGAAGAGNGAACCAGCAATTTGATATTTATTTAGTCGTTTTATGTGCAAAAGACTTCTTCGAGTAAACCTACATTTTTTTACATTAAAAGAACTCATTGTTTTGGTAAAGACGGAATATAACGGTTTATTGCTCGTTTTGGTAAATCGAAGATAATTTTTTTGCAAAGGAGATATTACAGTATAGAATTCTCAAAACAACTATGTTAAAATTCAAGAAAATGTTAATTTTAACAGAAAAATCATATTGGGGTCTCACACACCCCACGTGTCTACAAATGTTACAAAAGTCCACGTGTCGGACGCAGGGTTAAAACTACAGACTGCCGTATTTAGCACTTAGAATAAGATCGAGTGTATCGCAAAATGGCCTCGGTAGTTGACCTTGCATTGAGTCTTGTTTTCGATCCGAAAACACGTGGGTGGCAAGTTTTTATAAAAAGGTTAGAACAACACTTCATAGCGCGAAACATTTCAGATGAAAATATTAAGCGAGCAGTTTTACTAAACAGTTTAGCCGAAGAAGCCTATCAGCTGCTAGTTGCTCTGTCGATACCGAATAAACCGGAAAATAGTGGTTATAATGTTATCCTGAAACATCTTGATGATTATTATAATGAAACACGGAGTGTGTGGGTAGAGAGAGCAAAGTATTACTCAGCACACAAACTAGATAATGAATCGGTGCAAGATTGGGCAGTACCACTAAAAAAATTGACCAGCAACTGTCAATTTGGAACACAGTTAGACACAAAACTGACAGATATATTCATAACAAGATATAATGTTGGATATTGGATATTGGGGCTGAGAGTCGATGCAAATTTCAGTAAAGCTCTGCTCTAATTGAAGAAGCTGCAATCGAGGGAATCAAAGAGTCTAGGATGGAAACGGAGGTGAAAAAAGAGCCAGCGCTGGAGGAAGATGCAGGAATAAACCGTATTGGAAACAGTTCGAGGAGTGATCACCGGCAGAATGTAAGAACCGCCCGATCAGGAAATCAGAGCCGTTATTCTTTACGGGGGGAATCTACACAATATCAAGGAGGAAGTGACGCGAATACCAGTGCTAGTGAAAAGGCAAACGTGAAGTGCTTTCGTTGTGGGAGAGGACATTTTCCAAATTCGTGCCCTTACAAGGATTATATTTGTTCTGATTGTAATAGTAGGGGACACCTCAGAGCGGCATGTAAAGAGTCGTTCTGCAAAGACTCAACGAAGAAATTGAGGACCGAAATGTTCTACCTGACGAACAATTCGGCTTCAGCTAGAGGCACTGAGACTGGTCGAAAACACCATCGCAGAGCTAAACCATAGTCGAAAAGTTCATGTCGTTCTTTCAGACATCTCGAAGGCCTTCTGCATAAGCTAGTCGCGTTCGACCTGCCTCGGGGCCTGATCCGGTGGATTGGGTCTTTCCTGAAAGACATAACATTTCAGGTTAGAGTACTCTCTTCATACTAGTGACCTCCCGAGGTCCGAGCGTGTGAAGATATCTCTCTACGCCGATGACACGACTCTCCTCTCATCTTCCATGGATCGGGAGCTCGGGGTCTTCAACATGTAACGTGCATTGGACGACCTCGAACGCTGGTACCTCGAATTGAAGATCCGAGTGAACTTGGAAAAGACTCAGTTGATAACCATGGTAGTAACGGTGTCTCCTCCAGCCAGAAAATTGAGGATCTCTGGACGGGAGAACGACTGGCAAGCGCGGGTAAAGTACCTCGGTCTTCGAATCGACCGTAGGCTCAATCAATCAATCAATCAATTTATTTGCTTATTATCAATATAACGGATTTAGCATCGTCAATGTAGATAAATATAATACAAAACATACACAATTATACATACACAATACATACACATTATAAAGGCAAAGTATTAAAACTTGCAGTTGAAAAATTCACTTACGTCATAATGGCAGAGATCAACCAGCAGCCCTTTTATACTTTTTTTTAATTTAATCATGTGTAACTTCTTCATATATGGTGGTAGATTGTTGAAGAGCCTTATCGCCATAGTAAAAAAGCTTTTATGAGTAATTGCCAGTCGATGTTGTGAAATAAAAAGATTGTGGCCATTTCTGGTCAAATATTCATGGTTGCGATTAACTTGAGGGGTGTTATTTTGTGTCTTGATATAGACGAGACATTGAAATATGTATAGAGCCGTAATGATTAATATATTACATTTTTTTATTAGAGGTCTACAGCTGTCAGTTCTTTTTGCTCTTCCCAGGATTCTAATAGCCATTTTTTGTAAAATGAGTATCCTTTCCCAATCAGTTGAAAGTCCCCAAAAAACTAATCCGTATGACAGCTTAGACTGAAATAATCCCATGTAAGCTGCTCTCGAAACATAAGAGGGAACAAATTCATTAATTCTACGAAACAGATAAAGAGTGCTGGACACCTTAGTAGAGAGATCTTTGATATGGTCTCTCCAGTTCAGTTTTTGCTCCAGCGTTACTTCTAAAAACTTAATGGATTTTTGACTGTCCTTCAGTTCTTCAATTTTTTTCAACGCGTTGTCAGTTAGTTGCTTTGGATATTCATGTTCAGGGTGACTTTCATAAATAGTAGTGTCATCGGCATACTGAATCGTATTGAAGGGGTTCATATGATGTGGAATATCATTAACATATTTTAGGAATAGTAGGGGACCCAAGATTGACCCTTGAGGCACTCCCGCTGTTACACTCACTGCTGGAGATCTTACACTATTTTGTTCCACAACCGGATTTCGTTCGGATAGGTAAGAATCGATCAAATCAGCTATTTTATCGAGTAGAGTCATGTGTGACACACAGTCGAATGCCTTCGAGAGGTCACAGAATACGGCTGACCTCGATCAAGGATCGAGAAGATCAAAAATGAGCCTTAAAAACAAAATTACCATCTACAACACGATGTTCAAGCCTGTCATCATGTATGCTTCAGGCGTCTGGGGACACGCAGCTCCGTCTAACATCTCCATCCTGGAGGGATTACAAAATAAGCTGATACGGATGATTTTGAATGCTTCGTCGTTCGTGCGGAATGAAGCCATCCGCAGAGATTTGCAGCTGGCTTCCATCAAGCAGTCCATTCAGTTGAGGAATCGGCGAGTTTTTGTTGCGCAAAAACTTACGAAAACCCCGTTGATTAGTGAAGCTATTGAGCAGTGGAAAACGGCTCGAATTTGTCCGATATTAAAAAAGCGACTCTAGCGATATCACAAACTACAGGGCAATTTCAATTTTATGTAACTTTTCTAAACTCTTCGAAATATGTGTGCAAAATGTTATGTACTCCCATATTCAAAAAGGTATTTTTCCTACTCAGCATGGTTTCGGACAACTAAGATCATGTATGACAAATCTTGCATGTTTAAATTAATATCCCTGTACGTACCTGGACAAGCAAAAAATCGATGTTGTTTATTTAGACTTTCAAAAAGCCTTCGATCAAATAGACCATTACGTTCTTCTAAGCAAATTAACAAAATTGGGACTCTCTAACCAACTGCTTACTCTAATTGAATCATATCTAGTTAACAGAAAACAATTCCTCGAATATGAATCTTTCAAATCGGCCCAGTACGTAGTAATATCTGGGGTACCACAAGGTTCTTATCTTGGGCCTCTTTTATTTTCAATTTTTATTAATGACTTGGCAACCTCTTTGAATATTTCTAGCCTACAATTTGCAGACGACCTGAAACTATATTATAAAACCGACGACATTATTGACTACCAACGTGTACAACATGAATCAGATGTAATCAAACTTTGGTGTAATAATAATCGTATACAACTGAATGTTTCCAAATGTAAAATAATATCATTTACAACAAAGAAGCGAACTTTATTGTATGATTATTCAATCAACAATACTACAATCAACCGCGTACA